GGAAAGCCACTGAGGCCAAGCATTTGGCAAAGTGGTACCTACATGGAGGTCCAGAGAGCCACTGCACAAAGCTATGAAGGTGAAGCCTAGATTGTATTGGAGACCCTAAGATGCTGGAGATGCCAGAGTTGTAGGATTCCTGCCAAGAATTGCTGCTAACAGAGAGTGGAAACAACCCCAAAGAGAGAAGTATATTGCAGTCAACAAAGCTGGAAAGGAGTTGGAAATCCAGAGTCTTTGACACCTGACACAGAGATGCAGAGTTTGGAGTTTGCCCATTTGGGTTTCAGTCTTGCTTTGGTCCAGTATTTCTTCATTATGCTCCCTTTCCTCCCTTTTGGAACGGTAATGCATATTTGGTACCACTATATGTTAGAAGTATGTGATCTGCTTTTTTAATTTTGATTTTATAAGACATTACAGTTAAGAGAGTCTTCTTCTCTGGCCTGCTCTTCCTCCCTTCCTGGGTGGAGGCCACCAACTGGGCTTACTTCAGTAGTGCTGTTTGTTATCATGTGACCAGGGCCAGGAAAAATCCTTGGATTTTTCTCTGTGACTTGATTGAGCCACCAGAATACCTGTTGGTATTTCAACATTGATAGGTGTTGAAAAGCGACACTAACACAACCTAGGATTGTTATAGAGAAGGAACAGGTAAAGAGAAAGCGGGGGTCTTTGAAAAGTAAATAACTATGGTACAAAGAAAGCACTGTGCAAACAAACTAAATGCCTATTCTACAAAATGCCTTGAGTCTTGAATTAAAGAAAAGAAATAAAAAGGAAAGGGCATGACTGCTTCTAGGTATGGTGGAGGAGAAAGCTTATTATAGATAACACGGAAAGCATACACAGAGGCAGAGACATCTGGTAGAGTCCAGAGTGTACCAGACTGAGCTGGGCCATGTGGGGAGAGGGAAAGGTGAGAGGGGGGGGGAGATGGAAATAAGGTGCAGCATCCAAGAGGCCAAAGGCACAAAAGGGGTCTAGATTACATAGGGAGACCATGGGGGTGGGGGCAAGTCCCTGGGCTAGAGAGTTCATAGTAGAGGTCAGGGTATGCCAGTCACACCCTTAACAGGTGGGGACTGAGGGATGCATAACTTAATATAACTTTGATATGTTAAGTAGTCACCTCAGCCTTTTGTCCTGGATTTGAACCTTAACAAGTCTCAGAATAATTTTGGACTTAAACGAATTGATACTGAAAGACTATGGAGATCTTTGAAGTTGGAGGAAATGCATTTTACATCATGATATGACTATGAGTCTATGGGGACTAGGGAGTTGGATATGTTGGTTTGAATGGGAATGGTCCCTATAGCTCATTTATTTATTTATTTATTTATTTATTTATTTATTTATTCATTCATTAGTGAATTGCTTGGAAGGATTAGGAGGTATATTCTTGTTGGAATAGGTGTGTCTTGTTGGAGGAGGTGTGTTGCTGGCAGCAGGCTTTGAGGTTTCAAAACTCCAAGCCAGGCCCAATGTCTCTGTGGTTTCAAAACTCCAAGCCAGGCCCAATGTCTCTGTGCCTGCTGCCTGAGGACCAGGATGCAGCTCTCTGTTTCTTCTCCAGCACCATGCCTGCCTATGGGCTACATGCTCCCCTCTGAAACTATAAGCTGGCCCCCAGTTAAACGCTTTCTTTTATATAAACTGCCGTAGTCATGGTATCTCTTCAGAGCAATAGAACAGTGACTAAGACAGACTCCAAGTACCATTAATTTCAAGAATCAACTTAACACTGAGTGGGAAAGGAAGTATTGATTGTTTAGTTACTAATTACTTGTTGACTTCCTAGCACACTTGAAGAGAATTAGAAGTGTGGAGAATCAGTCTTTCTTCTTTCTAATTGATTTTAGCAAACACAAGACAGCAACCATCAGGCAGTCAACACCTCACACCCCTACACACGTCTATGTCTATTTTAAGCTTTCTGGCTGGAACCTGAAACTACTGGATCATGTGTTGAGCGCCAGGAGAACAACTTAAATGTTAGTAGGCACTTTTATCTCAAAGGCATTTTGTAGAATAGGCATTTAGTTTGTTTGCACAGTGCTTTCTTTGTACCATAGTTATTTACTTTTCAAAGACCCCGCTTTCTCTTTGCCTGTTCCTTCTCTATAACAATCCTAGGTTGTGTTAGTGTCACTTTTCAACACCTATCAATGTTGAAATACCAACAGGTATTCTGGTGGCTCAATCAAGTCACAGTGAAAAATCCAAGGATTTTTCCTGGCCCTGGTCACATGATAACAAACAGCACTACTGAAGTAAGCCCAGTTGGTGGCCTCCATGCAGGAAGGGAGGAAGAGCAGGCCAGAGAAGAATCAAGGCAGGGAACCTCATCCAGCACACAAGAGTTGGGACCTCTATGGATTGCCATGTTACAAGAGGCATGTCACTCAATCTTGTAACTAGAGGTTAGAACTTACACCTCTGAGATTATTTCAAAGTCATCACTCTGCGGAGGCTTTATTCCAATTCCAGAAATATCTTGGCATACAATCTTGATGACAAATTCTTTTGACTATATTTAGTGGTGGCAAATAACTTTTATTTTTGAGAATCAGCATTATTTTCAAATGTAGCCAGGTCATTCAGAACCCTGAAGAATAAGATGGAGAAATCAGTACCATCCTGGTAGAAAACTGGAATGTTGAATATAGTAAAACAAGTCTGAATTTTCCATGCAGATATGAAAATCAGTTTGAAAAGGGAATTTTACCTGACACTGACAACATTGTGTTGTGAGACAAATTTGATTAATGCAACAACTTTCAAGGTCATTTGTAATGGAGGTATAAAACCTGGAATCTCATTATTTACAATTCTTATTTGTGGCAGCAGCCAGGTGTTTCCAGATTCTTGGCCTGTTATCCAAAGAGATGGAAATAAGGACTCACACAATTTGAAAAATAGCAAGATAATTTTATTCAAAGAGAAGGAATAATACAGATTAGAAAAAGATATACTCAAGATTGACAGTAGGCTACATTAGAATACTGAAGGGCTGAAATTTTTGTTTGGGGTTTCTTTTTAGTAGTTCAATAACAGCTTGATCTTGGTTGGGGAGAGTTACCTGTGGCACCTGTCCTGTTCTTCCCCAAACCTCCTCTGGGGGTGGGCAAAGACGTACCTTGAAAGATTCAGAAATTCTGAATTACAAGTTTGCTTATATAAAGCTTCTCCTTCACTGCATAAAAATTTAAATAATTCAGATTAATAAAATACAGTAACTTTGCCAGTTCTTGTATTTAGTCCACTAACTTATCTTTATAAGATGTGTGAAATAAATCAAAGTCAACTCATTAACATTGAGCAGAAGTACAGCTATTCACCTGACAGCTCCCAAGAAACTTTTATGCCAGGAAACAGCATCCATGTGTATGCAGATAAGGAGCCATTATCCGGTAAAGAGACTTTTGTGAGTGGTGGTAAGGATAGAACAATTGTCTTGTGGAGCACACACAGTGGAAATGCAGTCCTAAACCTAACCTCACCGAACAGTAGTGCAAACTGAGCCAAGTGAGAGGGAGATGGGTTTTATCACTGGGGTTGACTTAAACTGTTCTTCTGAATCCAACTCCAGTTCTACCCACTTATACTGGCTGCATTTGTTTATTCACAACCCAGGAAGGAGCCAGGGCCAAGGAGGGAATGCGGATTTCAAAGTCCTTCAGAGAACACGAGCACACGCCTACTCTACAAAGGTAAGAATTCCTTCATCAAACTTCCTTCTGGCCCAAGCCCGGGGAAGTAAAGGGCATCGAGAATAGCAATGGAAAACACCGGTCCGCCTTAATGCTCCGAATGAATGAAGCAATCAATACACATCGGAGACGCTCCGCCACGCCTCACCACCAACAGGCGGGGGAGCTGAGTTCCCCGTTGGGGTGAGTCGCTCCCGCGGTCTAGCACGAGCAGTCCGGTCAGGCCAGTCAAGCCCACCACGCGGGCCCGCAGAGGCGCCAGGCACTGCGCCCGCGGGGGAGCAAGCGGCTCCCGCTCCGGAGGCGATGCGCGCTGATGCTGGAGCCCGCCCAGGGGAGCCCCGGGCCAGCCCAGGCAAAGGGCGCGCGCAGGCCCCCCCCTTCACCAGCCACGGGGCGTGGCCACGTGGGCGCGCACGCGTGGAACCAATGGGCAGGCCGTGCCAAATGGAAGGGCGGGTCTGACCCCCGTGACGTCACGCAACTGGCAGGGAGCGCGCCCCCTTCCGCCCCCGCCCCTCCGGCGCGGGCCTCGCTCGCCTGGTCCCGCCCAGTCGCCCTCGCGCAGCCAATCGGGAGGCGGGAAGCGCACGAGCGCGCGCGGGGGGCGGGGTCGGGCGGCGGCAGGGCGAGGCCGGGCGGCGGAGTGGGCCGAGCTGCCGCGCGCCCGGGAGCTGCGCGGTGCCGAGGGGAGGAAGCGCACGGAGGGGTGCGGCCGCCCCCGGAGGCAGACCGCAGCGGGTGCTCTCCTGGGCCCGGTGCGTATCCTCGTCCGCCGCTGCCGGGCCGGGAGGGGGCGTCAGGGCGGGCGCGCGCGCGGGCAGCCCCCGCGGGTGGAGGGCCGGCCGGGTGCGCGCGGGGCCTCGGGTCGGGACGAGCTGCCGCGGGCCCCGAGCGGTCCCCGGCTGTCAGCGCGCGGGACGCCCGCTGTGGCCGGGGCGTGTCTGCCGCGGCCGGCCGCTCACACGCTCGGCCCCGCGTGGTCCCGCCGGCTGCCCGCGGCGGGCTGTGCCTCGAGGGCTGCGGAAGCGGGCGCCGCGTGGAGCCGGGCGGGCCTGAAGATGCTGCGCGCCCGTGGGCTCAGCGCGCCGGCTGCACGGAGCGGCCGCGCCGCGCCTGCCCGGGCTCCTGCAGTCCCCCGCCTGGGGCGGTGATGCCGCCCCGTGGGCAGGGTGGGTTTGTTTGGTTTCTTCTTCTGCCCTCCCCTTTCTCCCCCCCTCCCCGCCATCCTCTCCTCCCTCCCAGCCCATTCACTGGGCTGCTGCGGGACCTCGCCCCTCCTCCGCTCCCGCCTCCCCGCCACCGCCTCCTCTAATGAGCATCTCTGCCTTGCTTTCAATGGGCCGCTGCTGCTGTCGCTGCTGCTGTCCGCGCGGTTTGTGGATGTTGTCGGCTCCGTGTTGTGATGACAGGAGAATGTGTGTGTGTCCCGGGCCCAGACGAATTGGTAGGTATTCACGTAACTACCTGTGTTGGGTACCCAGGATGGATAGTGACTGGTTTTGTGTATGAATGGATGGCTCTAGGGGTTCTCCTGGAATTAAGGGGTGCCGTAGGAAAAGGGAGACAAAGGCGCTCTGGACCACAAGAATTTCTTTGACATCTTAGTAAGTGCGATCTTAGGGTAGGGACAAACGAAGCTGATCAAACAAGTGCTGTTTTGGTGCCTGTGTCTTAAGGGTAGGGGGGTTCTTCATTCTTGTAGATACTGAGATGTGCTAGGCATTTCCAGAAAATGCTGAAAAAAATTCACGAGTCGTTATGCAGGGTGTTTAATGCAATTAGATTACATAAACAGAGGTATGACTAGTGTAGTATTTATTTTCATGTACATCAAGAGCTTTGCAAGGCCGAGAAGCTTCGGAGTTCCGGAGTAGGTGCATCAATAGCATTTTTTTTTAATTGATTTGGACAGAGGGTTGGTTGATGAAGTGGAATAATTTCTTGGCACAGGCTTTGCCGAGCACATCGGAAAGAATGGACGGGGGAGCTCTTCTGTTTCTGGTCTCAGTGCATCTTTTTATTAGTCATTGCCAGTATCGGCCAAATCTGCCCAGGACTGAGATGCTGCATACAGTGTTGCCAAGTCCGGGCCATGATGGTGTATGAACTTAAAAAGAAAAACAAGAATGTGGATTATTGTAGTTTGCCAACGACTATACCTTGATATTTTTATTGGCTAATGAGGAAGCTTCTGTTCTGCTAATTTAGCAAGTTTATCAGGATTTCACAGAGGTTTTCTCTTGAATCGCAGGCAGTTCAGGAGGATATTAAGAATTTTTGTCACACGCTGATGGTTTATCAAAGCATTTAATAGTGTATTGACTTGTACCGTTTCTGGTCTGATGAAAATACTATGTAATTAGTTCTGACCTGATAGAATACTTACTAAATTACAAGGCAAACTTTCATGAATTCCAACTTCCCTAAGAATTTGCCTTCTGAAAGCATGTTAGGAGCTGAAGAATTGGAATGCAGTCCATATGCTAAGCAGCAATAACTGAAAAGATTCAGTTGAAAATAAATTACCCTCTCTGCTATTTTGACTTTTAATCTCAAATACTTTTTCTGTGAAGAAAATTGTAAAGTGCTTGAATTTGAAATATTCAGAGCACCTGCTGCATGAACCGTGAGCTTTTTGCCACCAGATTCCATCCATTTCTGATTGACTTTAAAAGCAGACAAACTCTCAAAACAGGGAAACCTAAGCAAAGTGAAGGTTTCCTAGACACATTACACCATCAATAGATGTTCCCTAAACCATTATGCCTTTGCCTCCCCCTTAGTTTTAAATTAATACAAACTTACAGATTCTGAAGGAAATTTACTTTCATTAAAATTGAACCTATATTTTCATTTTTAATGATAGCATTTGCAGCATAAAATAGCTTTTTGCATACATGCATGAGTAAGAAGTATGGTTTATATGTACAAGCCACTGTGGTGTGGCAACACATTGCGCATATCTGGCTCAATCCTGTACCCTTAACCTTTGGATGACTTTCAGGTGTTCTTTTTCAACTGTTGTTGTTTAGGTGGTTAGTCCTGGTAAATTCTTGTTGTTAGGGATTTCTTTTCCTCATTTCAGAAGGCTTACGTGTGGAATCTAACTCCAGAAAGTCTAGTCCTCTCTATGGTGCTCTTTTGTCTTTGTTTAGAAACAAGTCTCTGGTTGGTAGTCAGTACTTCACTATTAAAGGTGCTATTCTGTCAGCTCATGTGTTTGGTGCTCTACAAAAGCAGACACAAGTATGGATGGATTTTCAATGTTTGGTTTTCTCTCTTCCCTTATTTTCACTTTTTACTTCCTTAGTACCCAACAAAAAGTATATAAAAATTACTTAACACTGTGATCCTTATTTTTTTTTTCCTTAGTAGATTCAGCTTTTGGAAAAAATAGTTGACAATAAAATTTGTTTCATTTTTAAATTTTTATTTAAAGCAGTTCTAAAGTCTGTTTCTTGTAGTTGAAGTGAGTATTTGAGACAATGTCTTAGGAATTCAGAGAAATATGATACTGAAGATTTTTTCTTTTATGCATTATTTGAAATAGTGATATATGTTCACTTAAGTTTTCTAGATAAACACCTATTCTAAAATATATCTTCAGGATACTCATAATGCCATACTGTTATAATCCAAACCTTGGGCTTAATTTATGGTTCTTTGTTGCTTTCCTATGACAGGTAGATGCCTGTTTTTAAGTGAAAGAGAAAACATTCCCCAAGGAGTAAATAGGGATCTCTGGTAGATGAAATAATATTTCTGTAGCTTGCCTTTATGACCACTAAGCAGGGAATAGTGGTAGCAGGTTAATTAAATTCTGAAATGGGATCACTTTATGTTACCAAAACCATGTTTATAGTTAAGAATACTTGAATTTTTAAAATCAAAAATGGCATAGCAAAATTCAGCAATGAATCAATAAAGCCTATATTTGATTTCAGAGCCTGAATACATCAAACATAAAAGCATGAATCCTAAAGAGGCTTTAGAGTACCTGATTCTTTGTATTCACTTAAAATGCCTTTTCCAGGATCAGTTGGTGAAGAGCAGACCTCTTCAGCTTGATCGACTGGCACAATGGCATAGAGAAGAAAGCTTTATAAGACCAGCCACTGAATTTCTGTTTTAATTTTACTATATCCAAAATGTATTATGTATGTTAAAATGAGCATTGTATTAATATAGAAGTATATGTATACCATTTACCAATAATGTGTAAATATTCATTTGTTAAGGCTATGTTAACACTTTTAGTGATATCCATGTGTAGTCAAATGCTAACAAAATGAGAGATCTAAGGCCCCTTTTAAAACAGCAGAGAGAGAGAGAGAGAGAGAGAGAGAGAGAAGGGTGATTGGGCAGGTAGACTGCTGCTGCGGCACAATGTTACATAACTTCCTTCTCAGCTTTCTCCAGCCAGATAGATATATGTGTATGCTGAGCAGTTTGTACTGCACACAAACAAAGGAAAGAAAAAAGAGAAATTCAAGTGTAGTTCAGTCCTGGCTTCCTGAATGGCTGAGACTTGCAATTACCATAAAACACCCTGTTAAAATTAACCTAGCCTACTGATATACCTACTATATGTAAATTCCCTAAGTATTTTCTATAGAGCAAAGCTTGTCAAATCATCCAGAGTGTAACTTTTATGTGTGTGTATCTGTCTTAATTGCTCTCTAGGAATCCCAGTCAGAACGTCCAGCCTACCGCTGTTCTCTGATGCCATGCCAGCACCGACTCAACTGTTTTTCCCTCTCATCCGTAACTGTGAACTGAGCAGAATCTATGGCACTGCGTGTTACTGCCATCACAAGCATCTCTGCTGTTCACCACCGTACATTCCTCAGAATCGCCTGAGATACACACCCCATCCAGCATATGCTACCTTTTGTAGGCCAAGGGAGAGCTGGTGGCAGTATACTCAAGGAAGGAGATATGCCTCCACACCTCAGAAATTTTACCTCACACCTCCACAAGTCAACAGCATCCTTAAAGCTAATGAATACAGTTTCAAAGTACCAGAATTTGATGGCAAAAATGTCAGTTCCATTCTTGGATTTGACAGCAATCAGCTGCCTGCAAATGCACCCATTGAGGACCGGAGAAGTGCAGCAACCTGCTTGCAGACCAGAGGGATGCTCTTGGGCGTTTTTGATGGTCATGCAGGCTGTGCTTGTTCCCAGGCAGTCAGTGAAAGACTCTTCTATTATATCGCTGTTTCCTTGTTACCCCATGAGACCTTGCTAGAGATTGAAAATGCTGTAGAGAGTGGTCGGGCCCTGCTACCTATCCTTCAGTGGCATAAGCACCCCAATGATTACTTCAGTAAGGAGGCATCCAAATTGTATTTCAATAGCTTGAGGACTTACTGGCAAGAGCTTATAGACCTCAATACTGGAGAATCAGCTGATATTGATGTTAAGGAGGCTCTAATTAATGCTTTCAAGAGACTTGATAATGACATTTCATTGGAGGCTCAAGTTGGTGATCCTAATTCCTTTCTCAATTACCTGGTGCTTCGGGTGGCATTTTCTGGGGCTACTGCTTGTGTGGCCCATGTAGATGGTGTTGATCTCCACGTGGCTAACACTGGCGATAGTAGAGCCATGCTTGGTGTGCAAGAAGAAGATGGCTCTTGGTCTGCAGTCACACTTTCTAATGACCACAACGCTCAGAATGAAAGAGAATTAGAACGTCTGAAACTGGAACACCCAAAGAATGAGGCCAAGAGTGTGGTGAAGCAGGATCGACTGCTTGGCTTGCTGATGCCTTTTAGGGCTTTTGGAGATGTGAAGTTCAAATGGAGCATTGACCTTCAGAAGAGAGTGATAGAGTCTGGCCCAGACCAGTTGAATGATAATGAATATACCAAGTTTATCCCTCCCAACTATCATACACCTCCTTATCTCACTGCTGAGCCAGAGGTAACTTATCACCGATTAAGGCCACAGGATAAATTCCTAGTGTTAGCAACTGATGGGTTGTGGGAGACCATGCATAGACAGGATGTGGTTAGGATTGTGGGTGAGTACTTAACTGGTATGCATCAACAGCAGCCAATAGCTGTTGGTGGGTACAAAGTGACTCTGGGACAGATGCATGGCCTTTTAACAGAAAGGAGAGCGAAGATGTCATCAGTCTTTGAGGATCAGAATGCAGCAACCCATCTCATTCGCCATGCGGTAGGCAACAATGAGTTTGGAGCTGTCGATCATGAGCGCCTCTCTAAAATGCTTAGTCTTCCTGAAGAACTTGCTCGCATGTATAGAGATGACATCACAATCATTGTAGTTCAGTTCAATTCTCATGTTGTAGGAGCATATCAAAACCAGGAACAGTGAGTGCTGTTACCCTGGCAGTTCTCCAGTTCGAAGGGCAGATTGACTTTTGAAAGAAACCAATCCAGTAAATATTCCAATGGGTCTTCCTAAACACTTCACATCTGATACTCTAGCTACTCCATTATTCCAGATTGACTGCAACAGATGGTATCATGAGTGTCTTTTCTGTCCCATTGGTCCTCATGGTTTCTGTACTTGAGACAGCTTGGTTCCTTATTGCAGGTGTCTTTTAACTGACTTAACAAAGAATGTGAAGATTGGCAGATAAGGTCTTGAATAGGTCAAAAGCAAGGGTCTTTCTGGGAGTATTAGTAAAGGCAAAAAAAAAAAAAAAATTCCATCTGCATATGCCTTTCATCATAAGGATTCTACACGAGAATATTTACTACATGATTTAAAAAACATAGTCCATATGTTATTCACAAACACTTATTTTAGCCTGAAGTATTTTTCAGGTCTAGTACTTTAAGCCATAAATGACCATGAACCAAGAAATCTGGTTCTAAGTTTTTGTTGATTGTATGATAAAATATTCTTCCCATATACAAATAATTCTAAATAGCCCTTTCTTCCTCACACATGATTTCCTTAGTGTAACTGAGAAGTTTTGTTTTGCTACACCTAAAAGACAATAAAGGTTGTTAGTTTTATTTATCCTTCGAGTGAATGTTAAATAAAGGGAAATGTGTTTTTTCAGTTTGTATTCATGAAAAGCTTTATTTAGTTTGAAATAAAGATACCCAGAATGAAAAGAGACTGCTTTGTTTAATTCTTGTCACCTGTAGCTACCAGCATGTCACTGCTTTGTAGTCCCCAAAGTCTTGGCAAGCTGGATGTATGGTAAGGAAACAGACTGCTGCTGAGAAATCATACATTTTTATTTGTGATAGCAGTTTCCATGAATTTTGAAATTTTAAGAATAACATGTAATAAGTTTAAATATCAACTCAATAAGATTTTAATATTGTATTATGACAGTTTGAGGAAATTTTTTGTTTGTCCCCACTTAGGTCAGTTAAAATTTGAATTAAAATTACTAAATGCTTTAAATACTCTGTAGCTTGTAATATATGTTAAGATATATACATGAGAAATTCTTAAATAGTAATCTGCATGCCTGATACAGAACACTTAGCATCAAGTATTTGCAGCAGTCTCCATAATTATGTGCTGTCCTTTCTAATACTGTATCAAAGTAAATGAAAATACATTCAAGTAGGCTTTTTAGGAGTTTATTTGATATGCATCAAATGATACTTTTGTTCCTGCATTTAATGGTGATCTATGTACAGCTGTGCATATATTTTCATCACTATTAAAAATAGCTGTGGCTTAAAATTCACATAGATTTGTATATGTATACAAAACTTGATTAGTCTCTGTTGAGTAATTAGTTGGGAATGTAGGATTCCTTTAAGAATGCTGTCAGTTCTGAAGTACATGGTCAAGGACTGGGGATTGTGATTCCTAAATCATTATATAGCAGTACTGGTTGCAAAATTAGGTCGAAATGAAGTAGATTCAGGAAGATTACAACTCAGAACATCTTAGGATTTGTTTTCTGAAGTACTTTTTGGTTTTATTTTTTTAAAGTCAATTTTTTAAATATTACTTTTTATTTTGGAGGGGGACAGACACATTCTAATGCTTTCAGAGATATCAGGATGAAAAATGTACACTACAGTATGAAACCCTATTTTTTGTTTTATTTTAAAAATTTAGTTTTCATTTTACATACCATCCCCAGTTTCCCCTGCATCCCTCTCTCCCCACCTCCCCCATTTAGTCCTCATAGGGGGCAAGGCCTTTCATGGGGAGCCAACAAAGTCTGGCATACCAAGTTGAGGCAGGACCAAGCCCCTCCCTCCTGTAACAAGGCTAAGCAAGGTATCCCACCATAGGAAATGGGCTCCAAAAACCCATTCACGCCCCTTGTACGCATCTGGGCTAGGTCCTGGTGCCACTGCCTGGTACCTCCCCAACAGATCAAGTCACATAACTGTCACTCATATTCAGAGGGTCTAATAATGTCCCATTCAGGTTCCCCAGCTGTCAGTCTATAGTCCATGAGCCCCACTAGTTTGGGTCAGGTGTCTCTGTGATTGTCCCTGTCATGTTCTTGACCCCCCCCCCCTTTTCATACGATCTGTCCTTCCTCTCTTCAGCTGAACTCTAGGAGCTTAGCTATGGATCACTGCATCTGCTTCCATCAGTTACTGGATGTATGTTCTACTTTGACAAGGTAGTCACTAATCTGATTAAAGGAGAAGGCCCATTCAGACCCCCTCTCTACTATTGCTTGGAATCTTATCTGGGGTCATCCTTGTAGATTCCTGAGAATTTTTTAGCACAAGGTTTCCCTCTAACCCCATAATGGCTCCCTCTATCAAAAGATATCTCTTTCATTGCTCTACCCCTCTACTCCCCCAACTTGATCTTGATCCCGCATGTTGCCATCCCATCTCTCCTCCAAGTTTACCCAGGGGATCATAACTATTTTCCTTTCGTGGGGCCCCCTTTTTACCTAGCTTCTCTGGGGTTGTGGAATGTGGCCTGGTTATTCTTTGCTTTACACTAATATCCACTTAAAGAATGAATACATACCATGTTTGTCTTTCTGGGTCTGTGAAACCCCATTTTTAGTACTGTTTGGAATTGTTTTTAATATCACCACTTTGAGGTCTATGTTACATGCTGTCAGATGTCTCAGATAATACAGTGAATATAAATAGTGCTTTCTGTGCTCATGAACGGACGGATGGTAGGCCTCATTACCCAAGAAGTTTTGTCTGCAATCTGGATGCCAACCTACTTGTATAAAAATGAAAATGCAATGTGTACATGAAAATAACTAGGTACTCAAAAATCTTTAGATGCTGTTATTTAAAAGCAGTTGTGACTTTATTGTTACTTGTCATTGTGACATGATATCTAGAAGTAAAATCAGTTTGTGTAAATTTTCATGGGTTTTAGTCTTTCAATTTTGTTTTATTTAAATTTTCTTACCTGTATCCGATTTCTGTATTTATATTTAGTAAGTGCTTCATGTTTCATGTACTATGCCCTGAACTAGTTAAAAGGAATGGTGGTATGGCACTTGCTCTGAATGCTGTCTATGGTTAGAGAATGCCCACAGTGAATTAAAGCTTTACGTCTGCTTTCTGAGAGGCCTGTGTGGGTTTTTAATAACAGTAGCATTCACTGTATGCCTTCTATGCATTCAACTTAAGGGCCAATAAGTAATAAAATTAAAAGGCTTTGCATTTGTAATGTGAGGTTTGGATGTCAATATCCACCAAACAAGAACTTTCCCATTATACTAGAAAGTGACTATATGTTCCATTCTAGTTAACCCACAAATAACACTTCTACCCTGTACAAACATAATAATGCCTCCTTTTTAGAACTTCATGTAAATGAAGTTGTGTACTCTTTAGTGCACTATTTCTTAAAGATTATTTTATGTTGAGTGTTTCATGGTCTGTTTCTTATTTGATGAGTAGCCTTTCCATTTTAAGGATAGAATGCCTAATTGTTGAAGTAATTTTTTAACTTTGTCCATTCTCTGTTAGTATTTTTAGTTCAAACCAAGTCTTGTAAGTTGATTTTTAGTTGGATAGTTTCTTAGGAATACAGTTTGGTTAAGGCTCAGTTTCACCTTTACAAATGCAAATACAGGTGAGTTTTATAGACCTTCATAACTTTATCGGGGAGGAGCCTCTTTTACTGTCCTAGTCCTAAAAAATGCAAAATCAGCACGGTAAAAAGTTTGGAGAGTGGTCTTTGGCTGTTGACCAAACTTTTCACTATGACAATTTTGTATTTATTGTAATACTGGGGATTGAACCTAGACCCTTGAGTTATGTTAGGCAGGTACTATGTCACTGAGTCATATCTCTACCCCCCCCTTCTTTTTTGGTTAGTACTACATTTTTCATATATACATACATACTACACTTTGATTTTGACACAACGTCTTCCTAAGTGGCCCAGGCAGGCTTTGAACTTTAATATCTGTCCTAGGCTTCCAAATAGCTAGAGTAACAGGCCTGTATCACCAGGCCTGGTTCTGTTTTAGTATATATTAAAAAAAAAAAAAAAAAAAAAAAAAAAAAAAAAAGGTTAGCACTGTTTGTATGGAGATCCCCTTTTCACTAGGCAACCACATTTCTGAATTTGGTTTATTGGTGATTTTGTTCTTGAGTATAGGAAGAAGGCCTTGAAAGGTGTATTTTTAAGCTGAATGCCTAAGACCTTTTTCATAAATAACATTTGATATCCTGGAATTCTCCAGATTTGCAAGTTGAATCTTGTTGAATTGGTGTGGTGTCATAACCACTTCCAAAAAGAACCAAGTGACTGAAGATGCTGGGAATTGACATTGTGATTGAAGGTCGTTTATTTTGTGTACAGAATTAATTTACTTTGAAAGCCAAACTTAATGCCACTAAACTCTACTTGTCCAGTTCTTAATTCAATTTACTTTGGGTGAAATTCCAACAGTACACAGCATTGTTGTCTAAACAAGACTCCTATTACAAATCGTCACAGTAAATATATCAAGAATGATGTTCATGTAATTAAAATATGTACTAGTTACCAATGATTATACAGTGCACACATTTTAATAACCACACGATTGAGGTAGAATTATTTAGCCAATATATAGTTTCATAACTTATACACCTAATTGTTGCAGTACTTCTTGAACTTTGTCCATAAAAATTTTGGTCTTTCCAGGGTAGCATTCATGGGTTTTGTTTCTTCTCTGAGTCAGTACAATGTTGAATAAAATTTGTTCACTTTTATTTTACAGTAGAAACTATACAGCCAAACAGCCTATGTGAACTCCAAAAATATATCTGGCTTTCCTCCATTAGAAGACACTGCCTCAGATGCAGAAGAATTGGTTTATTCTTGTAACAGTCATTTCATTTTGCAGCTAACAGCCAAAATTGTGAAAAAACGTGAACTAGAAGACTTGATGCAAACAACTTGAAGTGCTAGTGTACCAATTAACCCTACGCGCGCGCGCGCACACGCACGCGCGCACACACACACACACACACACACACACACACACACACACACACACACTCCTCCCATTCCTAGGGAGATGGCTTCCTAAACTGGGGAGAGACCCGAAGGATTTAGTTATGTAAATGAGTCAGTTGGACCCAAACATCAATTTCAGCACCCCCCCACCCTCACCCTTCTGCAGTAAAGCATTAGCACAGGGCTCTTGGCCCTTGTGCCCTACTGTGCACCATGTGAGAGGTGTTCAGGGAGCTCCCACCACCACCACCACTTCTCTGGGGAAGAAATCTTACACCTA